TACCATACCATAATCAAAAGGTATTACTGCCCAAGCAACTAAACTTAACATAAATGTAATGACTGGAGCCATTATAAAGATGAATAAATTAGCACTACTTGGTAGAATAGGCTCTTTTATCATTAATTTCAAACCATCTGCTAAAGGTTGTAATAACCCAAACAATCCTACCACATTCGGACCTTTTCTACGCTGCATAGAAGCCATTACTTTACGTTCAGCTAATGTTTGGCAAACAAAAAAACTTACTCAAAAACAAAAAAAAATTCTTTCGAAGGCTCGAAAAAAAACAAACCATAACAATAGAGTGCTCTTGTAAATTATGGCCTTCTCCCGGAATGTATGCAATAACCTCATTTCGATTGGTTATGCTATGATGCTAATAGGCATCATGTCTTTAATTGGATTTCCTTTTTTAACTGGATTTTATTCGAAGGATGTGATCTTAGAACTTGCTTATACTAAATATACCATAAGTGGTAATTTGGCTTTTTGGCTTGGAAGTCTTTCTGTATTTTTGACTTCTTATTATTCTTTTCGTTTACTTTTTCTCACTTTTCTTGCTCCAACCAATGCTTTTAAGCGAGACATCGAAAGATGTCATGATGCTCCTACTCTGATGGCAATCCCTTTAATACTTTTGGCTTTTGGAAGTCTTTTTGTAGGATATTTGGCCAAAGATATGATGATTGGTCTCCCGAGGATTATGTCGTGGTCCATTTCCTCCATTACGGTCATTCGCTGAAATGACCAGATCGATTCCCTGACCCCTGCTTTCACAGCACACTTCGTGACGTACCCAGCGAACGGGATTTCCCCGCCAGCTTCCGGATGCTCCCTGTTACTTCCTTGTTTACCGTACATCCCGCGATCGTTGCGAAATCTCTTCTTATGAGAGTGATTTCTCCTCCCCCGTCTACTAATGCGTCGGTATGATGACTTCCGATCTGAATTTCCAGTTTCCCTACGGGCAGCCCATGAAAGCTAAGCTTCGTCCCGGGTGGCGATCTCATGACTTCGCCGCCCTCTCGGTCGGGTAAGCTCAAACGAATGTCTGCAAAGACCTTTTTGAGATCCTCCAAGTCCCCGTGACTCCTCTGAAGGTTAGCCACTTCTTGCGGAGCTTCCTCCTTCCTCTCCCCTTCTGGTAATTCGGGGTTGTCGCCTATTTCTACTCGCCTCCGAGTCAACAGTTGTCTGAGCCCTTTGAGCAACCTAGGGCTAGCCTGTAGCATGGTCTGAAAAGACACCGACACCATGGTTYCTAGTAACTTGCTAATGGTGTCGTCRAACTCAGGCAAGGTTAAGATCGAGATTTGATACCTRAACTTCTTTTTAGCRGCGGTAAYCTTGTCCGCARSCTCCTCTTCCCTAAGCTTCCYATAGAYTTTCTCTGGTTCCTCGGCCTTAGGCTCCGCCTGGGGTTCGGAGCTTCCGGCGACCTCCTCCATAACGGTGTCAYGGTTAATCCTTCTCTCGGCCGTTCCCAGTCGAGTGGTTGCGTTCACCCTATCACGTCCGTCGCTTTCCAAAATAAAGTTGGCATGCGGCCCGCGCCCYCGGAGCTGATCCYAGATGATCTCGCCCACCGGTTCGGCTTCTACGRCTGT